ATAACCTTAGATGAAATACAACACATGACATATTACACTGTGGTTTTATTTATTGTTAAACAAAAATAATAAATAGAAATGCAGAAGCAGTAAAGTAACAGCCAGATGCTGCTAATCAAATGCATTTCATCAATTTATTAGTTTCAGGAAGTGTGAACACTTCTGTAACAGCAGAGGTTTTGACAGTTTGCTGGTTTGGAGGATTCAGGTGTGTTAACACAAAGACATCAATGATAATCCTTGAGAAGCAACTGCTGCCCATCAATCTGGAAAACCTTATAAGGTCATTTCCAAACAATATGAATCCATCTGTCTACAAATTATCTACAAATGGAAAGCATTCAAGACAGTTGCCAATCTTCCCAGGAGTGAACGTCCCAGCAAATTCACTCCAAGTTCAAGCCTTGCAAGAGCTACTTCTCGGGCCTCAGTTAGCATGCTAAATGTTAAAGTTCATGGCAGCACAATTAGGAAAAAAATAAACAAGTACGGCTTGTTTGGAACGGCTTCCAGAAGAAAGGCTCTCACATTTGAACAAACCACAAAACCTCTGGCGCAATGTCCTTTGGACAAGTGAGACCAAACTGGGGATATTTGGACATAATGCTCAGCACTACATTTTGTGAACTAAACACAGCATAACAGCACAAACACCTCATACCAGCTGTCAAGCACGGTGATGAAGTCAAATGCAAGGCCATATACTTGACAGCTAAAGCTTGAGTGCAATGATCACAAGCACACAAACAAATCTACAACAAAATAGCTGAAGAAGACAAGAATCAACGTGGTGTAATCACACAAAGTCCTCAACGCGTAAAATGCTTTGGCAGGATCTTAAGAGAGCTGAGCATAAACAAATGCCTGCAAATGCCGATGAACTGAAGCAATGTTGTAAAGAAGAGTGCACCAAAATTCCTCCTGATGTGAAGGGCTGATAAAGTCATACAGAAAAGGATTACTTCACACTGTTGCTGCTAAAAGCGGTTGAATCTTGAGGCGTGCTTAGTTTTTCACACACTGCTTCTGCATTTCGGCTCAGTTTTTTTTTATATAAATAATAACACAGTGTAATATGGCGTATTTTGTTACACATCTGAGGGTGTACTTATTTTAAGACCTGTTACTGACTAGATTTTTTTTCTTTTTAATTAGGTCTTTATATGTAACACATCAGTACTGTAAATAATGTATCAGAGAATTCTCACACTTTGTCCAGTTTGTAAACATAAAAACAAAGTCTAAACCCAAATGGCTCCAACTGTCAAAACGGGGGAACTGCGATCGTGTCTGTTAACTACAGGGGAAGCTGCAGATGGTGACAATACTGGCACGATATATGCAGGCTTGCCTCTGGGCAGATGGTGCTGATAAACTTTTGCTTTCACGCTAACTGACAGGAGGCGAAGCGGGCAACCACGTGATTTTCTTTTTCACACGCGCACAAAACGCTAAACGATATCAATTTGAATTAAAACTCCACTACTTTTATGAACCACTTTAAATGCCATAAAAGAAAAAAAAAGGTTACACTTAATTATTGCGGTAATTAATAAATAATTACACCCACTTCGAAGGCGGAAGTAGTGTCCACACGGTGATATATAGTGAGCTTTATGTTTGTTTGTTTTTATTTCCATGTCTCTCTGGCGACTTTTTCAATTAGCTACTTTTATTTAAACACGAATTTTAAAAAAAAAAAAGTAACGAAAAGCTTAAACACACATGGGGGTGATCGGACAAATACCGTCACCCTCACCTTTCACTCAGTTTCTTTATTCGACACGGAGAAATCAAGCAGAACCAACCTGGGGGTATTGGGGAACGCTGCTCATGCTTCTGGGATATCCCCCCGGAGGCTGGGGCATTCCTTGCATCCTCATGCCCGCGGCGTGCCCAACATTCATGGGGCTCATACTCGGATTCATCGGAGGACCCGTGAAGCTTCCCCTCGATGCCATCTTCTAGAGCCACAAGTGGTTAAAAGTGACGGGAACTTCAAACCAAATTCGGCCCAAATAAAAGTGCGGCAGGCTGAAGTCTCCAAGTAGGTAGCTAACTAACTCCGGGTACTTCTGCTTAGGTCGGTTTCTGGTTTGACAGCAAGCACACTGTCAACAAAAAGCTAGCTAACGTTAGCTCACTTCCTACCGTTTCAAGTTCCGGGATTTGCTTCTACCTAGTGACTGCTCGTTTTGTGAACACACCAAGTGGGGGCTTGTCATCTCCCACTCGCGCCTTTACGACTGAACGACGCCACATAAACGATAACTAACAGCTATTACACCGTGAGGCGAATGAAAAACATGATAACGTCGTACTAAAAACAAACTGAGTATCTTGAGCAGATAGCTTGTCTGCACTCTAAAGCAAAACCAAGTACTTTCAACTACATGCTGCGTTCACAAACATCGGAAATTATGAAGTTCCAAATTTCAGCGCGCAATAATCTCGATTTTTTTCTTTTCGAACACCTTTAAACACATGTTAGTCCGAAGTCTTTATTGCTTTTGTATTTTGTAAAAGTATATATTTTCAATTATGTTTTATTTTCAATGCTTGATTTCAAATGTGACTTACAGAAACTTGCGCTTGGTTTTGTAATAGTGTAATTTTGTTTCTTGATCAGAAGCTCGAGACTTTTCTCAGTAGTGCCAAACTATAACCTCGAGTAATACTCTGCCTCCTGAACACTAATTTTTGGTAAACAGTAATGTGCTGAATCTAGAAGTCTTATGCCACCCATCCTTATATTTTCCTGGGGGAAATGACGGAGTAAGGCAAGGCAAGTTTATTTATATAGCACAATTCAACAGCAAGGTGATTCAAAATGCTTTACAGAGACATTAAAAAACAAAAACAACTAAAAAGCATGATTTAAAATGGGAAAAAAACAAAGGAACAGTAGATAAAATCAGTAGTTAAAATGTACGTTTTGAAATTTACACTTAAAAGTAAAACATTGCGAATTTGGTGCTTTATTCAAATGCAGCTGAGAACAGGTGAGTCTTCAACCTGGATTTAAATAAACTGAGTGTTTCAGCTGATCTGAGGCTTTCTGGGAGTTTGTTCCAGATATATGGAGCATAAAAGCTGAATGCAGCTTCTCCATGTCTGGTTCTGACTCTGGGAACTGATAAAAAGCTGGATCCAGATGACCTGAGGGATCTGGAAGGTTCATACTGGGAGTAGGCAATTTACTGAGACATATAGGGAAATGCAGGATAAAAGAAAAGGGGGGAAAAACAGAGGCTGTTCTAGCGAGCTTGAAAGCCAAGATTTGGTATGACTACATTTATTCATCAGCACAGCATGAACTCTCTTAAGCAACTTAAATGCTCTTCAGGAATAGTTCTCTTAGCTATATGTCCCTCCAGTCTTCTTGAGGGACATTCAAAGCTCTTCTTTGTTTGGGATTACCTTCCTGCTAAAAAATGATGTCACTGCCAGTCAGACACTTCTCAGATTGCATTGCATGGTGGATCTAAATATGATGGTACTTTTCCATTACCGTAATTTTAAAGAGATCCCCAACACCATTTGCTGAAACACAGCCCCAAACCTCGAGAGAGCCTCCACCATGTTATACAGATGACTGTAGATACCCACTGTTCTACCACTCCCCTAACCTTCTCTGTACTGTCCAATTCTTGTGAAGTTTTGCATACCTCAGCCATTTCTCTCCATTTCCCTTCCTTAAGAATGGCTTGTTGATGGCCAACCTTCCACTGAGGTTACTTCTGAAGAGCCTTCAGTAAACAGTACATAGATCCTCTGTCAGTTTTTCTGGATTTTTTCTGTTTACTGTTCATCTATTGTAGATATTTGTTTTAGGCTTGCCCCTCCCCCCCCCCCCCTCCCTCTATTTGTCCAGTTTTTCCCAGTTTTTCTTGCACCTAATACCAAATTATGCCAAATCTTCAGCTAGTAGCTCTTTAGAAACCAGCTTGTTGCTGTAACATACTCAAACTGTGTTATCTTTGGTATTATTTGTGTCTAAAAAAGTGCCACTTTAAAACTGGTCCTGTGCTAAGTTATCTGGTATATGCAGACATAAAACTGGTTCCTCCCGTGAGTTAAATGCCCCCTTTTATGCTTGAATTTAAAGAGAAAAAAAACATTCTCCCAAAGACGGTCAGGTACAAGGACTGAATATGAATATGAGTGACAAAGCAGCCCACATTTAAAGAAAAACTTTGAAAGACTTTCAGAAAGCCTTGAGAACTATTGCTCATCAAAATCTTTTAACCTATGGGCTACATTAATGCCTGTACTGCAGAGTTTAGGAAGGCTACACAAAACAACATTATCAGCTCCCCCTTGGCACAATGAACTCTGAATAAGAAGCTTGAACTGTATGAACATGGCTGTGTTTACAACATGACAGTTTTCTGAGAATATGACCTACAACCACACTAACCAAGATAATATTTAGCCCCACATCTAGCAACAGAAGCATGTGTACATCATCTGATCAACAGCACCCCCTGTTGATCAGTTAGACATTAATTCCATGTACTTGGTTGCCGTTTTATACATTTTATACTTTTGTTAAAATGAATGTGAAAACACAGGACAGATAACAAATCATTTATTTTGCTAGACAGATGAAACAAACTGAGCCATGATAGCAGCAATTCAACTATTAGAATATTTACACTATCACATCACACCAAGGACACATGTAACCCTTTACAATGTAAACACATGATACAAAGACATATTTCAATGCTAGAAAACAAGCAACTCTATCCCACCAAAAAAGAAAAAAAAAAAGAAAAATGAAGAAACCTGCTTTCTGCACCAAATACCTGCTTCTACACTTAAAGAGTTCGTGTCCTGAACATTGTGAAACAAGTTTCCACAGGTGAACGACAGAGATGCTTGTCTTTAAATTCTGTTTGAGAAATTCAGACAGTGAAAGGTGAAAATAAGACAAACCATTAGCAAGGATTGTCTTTGACATTATTGTTTTTTTTGTTTTTTTTCAAAGAATGAGATTGTAAAATGTGAGGTAATATAAGGACATCCACTGTGTAATCATTTCTGTATTTTATGAAAAGAAAAGAAAATACTGTAAGCGTACACCGTCTCTGAATGAATTACACTGCAGTTTACATCTGTGCAGTGAAATCATATTTGGTGACAAGTATCAGTCGAAAATGATAACTACATAAAATTATTAAAAAAAAACAAAACAAGTGTTGGTACAATGATTTTCTGAATAAAAATAAATTTGTCAAGTATAAGGTTGGGAGTTCTGAACTGCTTCTGCAGAGCAGCAAACACCACAAACGTTGCCTTTAACCATCAACGTCCATTCATTTCACAACATAAAGAACCAAAGGTGAAGTGTTGTTGGTCGTCCCGTGAGCGTGTCTCTGTGTGCATCTCCGCACACACGATGGTGAGAGAATGTGTGTTTGTGTTATTGAGAGAATGCCTCGTCTTTCATCAGCATGCGCGGGCTCTCCTGGTTGTCCATGCGACGTCTGGGACCCATCATGCCTAGAGGAACACACGCGCCATTTATTTATTCAATCCAGACACATAATTGATTTCAACTGGTGTTTAGTGTCTCAATCACTACACTATTACTGGTTCTAAATTATATGTGCACCAGACAATTTATTAAGTACAGCTGTTCAACTGCTCATTAACGCAGATATCTAACCAGCCAATCACATGGCAACAACTCAGTGCATTTAGATATGTAGAGATGCTCAAGACAGCCTGCTGAAATTAAAATTGAGCCTCAGAATAGGAAAAAAAGATGATTTAAGTGTGGTTTAAAGAAAACACAAAATATCCAATGAGCAGCAGTCCTATGGGTGAAAGTGCCTCATTGATGCCAGACATCTGGAGTATGGTAATAACCACAATACAGTTAAGGTACACAGAAGAGCATCTCTGAACGCACATGTTTAGCCTCGAAGCAGAAGACCACAGCGGATGCCCTTCCTGTTAGCTAAGAACAGGAACCTAAGACACATTTCCTGACCAAATTTGGACAATAGAAGGTTGGAAAAACATTGCCTGGTATGGTGAGGCTTAGTTTTTGCTGCAACATGCGTAAAAAAAACAAAAACAAGAAACCATTGATCCATTCTACCTTGTCTCAACTGTTCAGACTTCTGGTGGCAGTGTAAGAGTGTGGGGAAATATCTCCTTGGCACAATTTGGCCATTATCAATGTGGACCAGAATCTCTGAGGAATGTTTCCAGCACTGCGTTGACCCTGTGCCATGAAACATGAGGGCAGTTCTGTGCACAAATGGGATTCCAACCCAGCACAAGAAAGATGTATTTAATAAAGTGGCCAGTGAGTGTATTTTGAATTATTTTTATAATATGCTAGCTAGCAGAAATTGTTAAGTTTTTTTTTAATATTTCTTTTTAGTTGTACACTTGGTTTATACCAGTAGGTGCCTGGGGGTAGCTGTAGCTCAGGTGGTAGAGCAGGTCGGCTACTAACTGGAAGGTTAGATCCCAGTCTGCTCTAGTCTGCATGCCAAATATCCTTGGGCAAGATACTAACCCAACATTAATAAAACATGGCATCACACGTCCATCAGAGTGTGAATGTGTATGAATGTTAGATAGGGAGCAATTAACAACTTAGAAAGTGCTTGAGTGTGATTGGGTAAATGTACAAGTTGTATAAAGAGCTTTGAATGTTCAGAGTAGAAAAGCGCTATATAAGAACCTCATGTTGCTACACTGTGAAGTTTCTTTATTCTACAGAACCAAACGTTCTACCGCATCATACTTTGGTGTGGTAGAAATCTTATGAAGTCAGGGATGTGACAGATATAGAGAAAGCAAAACAGGATATCTTTATAGCCACCACAGTCTGAAGCCAAACACCTTTAACACTTCATTATGCGACCAAATATATGGTCATAGTTTCCTGTTGAATTACACTCATTAATAGTGGCTAATAAAATCAGCTGACGTTACCACGTAGTTGACATTTGGGACAATAAAATTCACCACTTCACTTTATTCTATTAGACAGAGATTATTAGGGAATTCTTGTGTAATTTTGCCCTTGAAATCACTTACATGGGGATAGACTGGTAGAAGCAACAGCTACTTTTGGCTGCTCCCTTATTTTTAAAGGGTTGCCAAGCGGGCAGCTCTGCATGCTTGGTTTGGCAGATTTCTTTTTTCTTTTTGATGCAACCTCAAAGGGATTTGTGTCTCCTCCTGCGATCGGGCTGAGGAGTTTTCATTTGTTAGGCGAATGTGTAAACCACTACAGTATGGACTGTACTGACAGATAGGCGTAACCTGGAAACATAATACCTTCAGCCAGACCAATATAAGGACAGAACAAAACATGTTTCATACACTGTAATGTGAAAATGATTCTATATGCTGACTCTGCTATGCTTCACTCTGGTATCCACTGTTATAAAGTGATCTGTGGGTAATTTAACTAATAGTATACATATGACAGCATATAGCAAAGCTGCACTGTTTTAAGATCTGATTACATACAGACAAGCTACAGCAGGAAGTTAAAATCTTGTTTTCACTCACTGTTCTTATGCTTGAATGATTTGGATCTTCTTGGTGAGTTTGGATTCTGAGGTGGAAAGACAAAATATTTTATTTTTGAGTTTTTACATGCAGACAAATGCTGGGGCTATTAAAGCAGCGATGCCCAACATGTCTGTTTAGTTAAAGTATAAGGTTTGATGAAAAAAAAAAAGTACCTTATCAGATTTCCTTTTCTTGGCTGTAAAAGAAAGATTTGTTTTAGAGATTTAACTCAGAGTTAACAAATATTAGTCACATTTAAATTTCACGCATGCGCAGCCCAAGACTACGAGAGCGTCACCTTTCTTTTCTGCCCCATAAGACCAGTCGTTATCATTGACGTCATCATTATCCTCTTGGTCACTCTCTGACTTGTTGTTGGTGTTGTTACCAGTGACTATTCTGTAAAAGAGGAACAAGCAAGGTATTGCGCGCGCGCGC